AAAAACAAACAACCAAGAAAAAACTACTCTGCTAACGAAACAAGAATCTTTGCCACCACGTTTCAATTTATCATCCATTAACATGCCAACAGAGCACTTTACAGCTTACTTACTAGCTGTTGCATCCTCCTCCTCCTCCAACAATCTGCTGTTATGTTCTCTGCCTTTGCACCTTCAGGAAAGTTTCTCTCTCTTCTCTACCAGAAGAATGCAGCTTGGCCTTTGAGATCCAGCTTATATACCACTACCTCTTCTGTGAAACCATTCTAGTTTCCCAAGGCAGATGCCTACTCTAGCATGTTCAGTCTTTATTATTGCCTTTATTACATAGCACTGTAATAATTTATGTACCTCTCAGTTGGCTCATTTAAGATATGATTCGCACACAGACATACACGTGTATATGTTTATGAGGCGTTCTATTTTTGTTGAGTGCATGAATAAATTATTTCATTAATTGTAGTAAGAATGGCCTTAGGGAAAACCAGAATCCAAACTGATGATTATATGATTATGTGATAAACCTGAAGGCCTGTAGTCCTCAGATTACTACCATCTGATATTATCAAACTTCAGTTAACTTATTTGATTCTTTAAAGAATTTATTTGATTTTAATGTCAACAAAGTGAGTGTAAATCACATATAGACCATAAAAGGGATTTTGAAATGAAAGCAAGAGTTTTTCCACTAACTCTCCTTAACTAACAAAGTATTTTACACTTCTGGTCCTTGGGTTTTAGCTGTACAGTGTTTTTGGTTTTTTTGTTTTTTTCAGTTTTATTAGGTAGAATTATTACAGTTTGACTGCACATATACATTAAATTGCATGTAAATACATATATACAATATACTGCACATTTTTTTTAGTTTACATATGTATACTGATCATTGTTTCTAAGAACAGATTAGAGCTTTAGCTTTTTAAACTTACATAGGTATCAAAAGAATATAGCCAACTACAAAATAAGAGTCAACAGAATGTAGTTTGTATTTGTTTATAAAAAGAAATTTGTGTTTGTTACTTTTACAAATAGTAGAAATTTTAAAAAGACTTTTGAAAAAATCAACTCAAACTGAGTCCCATTCAGATTATCAGCCTGCCTTGGCCATCTCTGACTCAGTCCAGCCACTGTCATTGAGTTTTGTTAGTTTATACCCCTTCTTCCTGTCCTGTGACCTGGCCACTACCATTTTAAGAGTTCATGTTCCATATGTTGATCTGATATGATTCTTCACCTTATATGTTCTAACTCCTTCCATCTTTAGCTAGGAGGTGAAGTACAGTGCTAGGGTCAGAAATAAGCCTTAATGCTGGTAGAACATGTTTACATATATTCACATTCCATATTGCTTTCAAAACAAATTCATATTGTTAGATTAGAGCTGTCACCTGATCCCAGAATGTATAGCACTGTGGTTGTTGTCAAGTTCAACACTTTATTCCTTTGCTTAGGCAGGTTAAGAGATAATTGGCCTTAAATTAGGAGAAATTTGGCTTTCAAATATTTCAACTTTTCCATGATGTTTTCCGATGTGTGATTGATAGGATTCCTGAATATTAACTTTTTAAATGTTCAAGTTCTTACATACAAAGAGTTAAAATCATTACAGCTTTAGTACAATGACTTCTTTTAGTGTTGTGTGTTGGTATGACTTAGAATTTTGTGAGTCACGTCGTTTTTAAAATGGTTGGCAGATTAGAACTATAACGTGGCACCTAGACGTCAGGCCCCATGGGGCCTCATTCTCTGGTTTTCTAAGTGTTACCCTGTAGAAGACTGTGTCACTCAAGGTTAGGCTCAGCCTGGGTGATCATTCCACGCTCCATTTGATGGCTTGCAAGGTTTTGTCTGTCCTTCAGCCCTTGCCTCCTCCTAACATCATTTATGACACCACTGTTCTAGTTTCTGGATCAAAATCCAAGTCATTTTTGAATTTTCCTTACCCTTATATCCAGCCAGTCATCATGCTTGATGATAGGACTCATTGATTCTCATGAGCACTAGTCACTTCCTTTCCTAGTCTCACTGCTCCTACTCTAGGTCTGGTAAGAACACACCCTATTCCCCACCCTACCCCCAACTCTAATCCATCTATATCCACAGCTAGCTAGCTTTAGCTAACTGAGTTTTCCTAAAACCAACTATTCTATTCATATCTTGACCTCTTATCTTTTTTTTTTTTTGCACTTTGTTTGTTTGGGGGGGTAAATAGGTTTATATTTGTTTTATTTTTTATCGGAGATACTGGGGATTGAACCAAGGATCTTGTGCATGCTAAGCATGCACTTTACCACTGAGCTATATACTCCCGCCATGACCTCATATCTTTTAATAGCAGTTGCACATATGCACACTCACACCCATACATACACATCTCCCATCGGCAGCTGGAAGAAGTCCAGATTTTATCCCAATATTCAGGATCTTCCACACTGACTTAGTCTTTCTAGTCTCATCTCCCACTTCCTTCCCACAGTGTGCTATATAGCTCCTGGCCATCCTAGAACTTGAGGGACATTTTTTTTTTGTCCTCAACCTTTATCAGTCCCTTTGCACACCTAAAAGGTGATCTCTCCTGCCTCTGAACATTCCCTATACTTTATTTTATCTGTGTCTATCTTATGACATTATTGCCCAATTAGTGCTTTGCAATTGACCAAAGTGCTTTTGAAGCCATTACTTTATTTAATTTTCATAACCGGTCTGTGAGGTAAGACAGGTGTATCTTATCACAAGGGAGGAAACCAAGACTTGAGGAAGAACGAGTGACTTGCCCAAGTTTTGCAGTTAAAAGTGAGTGGGTCTAAGGTTCAAATCCAAGCCTCCTGCGACATAACCCCCAAGCTTTGTTCATTACTACCTTTCTTGGTGCCAGAGTCTGCACTTAAATGTAAGTTTTTTTTAATACATCTGTTTCCAGTTATCTGCAAGTTACTTGAAGTTATATTTCATGCCCCTTGAACATGTGTGTATATATGAGTGAGCTGATTCATATTTTATATGCAGTTTAGTGTTCTTTCTCTGTAAAAATCATGCTTCCCCTTTCTGAGCCTTATTTTCCCATCTTTTTTTTTTTAAAGCAACTGTGAAGCTTAGTTGGTATATTCTAAATAATAAAACTAGAGCTTTGTATAATGAATTTAATTTCTGGGATAAGTTTTTAGCAGTGTACTTCAATTCACAAGTATTTATTGCCTTGAGGAGATTAAGCCTAATGCTAGGCTACTGAGCAATGGTTTCTCTATAAGTATCCTGAATTTTCATATAGTTCTAACTATAATTTTTAGGTTGACTGAATGAGAACTAATATACTGACAAAAGCTCTTAGGAATTCAGTAACAATTTTAATGGATTTGAATTTTATTCATTATATCATCTATATATATTTAAAAAATAAGAGTGATACATGTACCAGACCTCTAGTATTCAGTCTATAGGAAATGCTTGGTACCCCTAGTACTTACAAATCTTCCTGATAAATCTGCAGTTCCTAGTTGGAAGTGAATGCTTTGGGAATTCTGACATTGTCCTACGTCACTCATTATTGCCTTAGGAAGCGTCACATGAGAAACCTCTTGGAGAGCCACATAGTTGGAAAAGTGTTGCTTCCCTGAGTAATTGCTTTATGTATTCCTTTTAGACAGTGAGGACTATGGCAACTGACCTTCTCTCCATTTTCAGACTGGCATTTAGGAAGCTCAGAGCCAAATCAATTGATCAGTCAATCATATATCATATATCACTCAGTCATACAGCTGCGTAGATCCTTATTGCCTGCTTAAGTTTTCCCTCTTTTTATACTTTGATATGACTTCCTGTTGCAGTTTGCTTAGCCCTGATTTTTTAACTTATATTTTATCATTTTATTGCATGTTTCCCAAAGCCAACTAAAACTCTTTGAAAATGAAATGGAATATAAATACTCTAGCCTTTCTTTTGTGACCAGCTATGTCTTAGGCATTGGACATACCTGTTCTAAATATTGATACCTATACATATGACTTGCTTTTTATGCTGTGTTAAGCATGCTCAGCTGTCAGAATTTATGTGGAAAAGTCAAACCTAAACATACCATTTATCAGAAAAATGTAGTTTCATTTAATATGAACTGCTTTCAGAAACTCCTTACAGAATCTACTTAAGTGTATCTCAAAAAGTGGAGTGTCTCTTCTGGGATGAAGCAAAGCATTGTGACGACAGCATGCCTCTGCTAGCAGATATGAGATCACTTCTGGCAGTGGTACTTTAAAACCCACATGTGAGACTGGGAGGACAATTTTTTTTATTTTTAGTGTTTATCCTTTTGAATTTTGTACCATGAGTGTATATAACTTATTCAGAATTAAAGAGGCTCGCGGTTATTTTCAGTAGAAGTGTAAAAAATTTCCTATCTATTAGACTTTAAATCCTTTGAAACCAAGAAATGTGCTAGATTTCTCTCTATTCCTGAACCTAGCACACTATAAGAATACACAGTTAAGTCCCCAGCTAGTGTGCTTAGATGTGAATTGGAAACTCAGAATTGCAAAATAGGATCACAGTGAAAAATTACTAACTGTGGATAACTCATGCCCCCTTAACTCTGTATCCCCTTTTCAGAGTGAGAATGAGACCAGCTTCCTGGCTTCGAAGTAAGATTAGTTTTTATTGAAACTTATTAAAAGAAATTAAAAACAAATTAGTAGGATTTTACCTAGTCAGTTTTTCATAACAGGAGGTCTGTACTTGTTTCTATATTATAGCATGGGATTTTCCCAAATGTGAATCAAGGTTTTTTTTTTTAATGTGTGTACATATATATATATTTTTTTTAAGTAAAGTCAGTTTACAGTGTGTCAATTTCTGGTGTACAGCATAATGCTTCAGTCATACATGAGCATATACATATTCGTTTTCATATTCTTTTTCACCATAAGTTACTACAAGATATTGAATATAGTTCCCTATGCTGTATAATATATAGTTGTTGTTTATCTATTTTATATATATTAGTATCAAGATTGCTTATCTCTTTTTGCAGATCTTTGTAGAATTTGATGGCTGTAACTGGAAGCAACACTCCTGGGTTAAAGTTCATGCTGAAGAAGTTATTGTGCTTCTGCTGGAAGGGTCTCTGGTGTGGGCGCCCCGAAAGGACCCGGTCCTTGTCCAGGGCACTCGAGTCTCAATTGCACAGTGGCCAGCACTGGTGAGTGACTTATATTGGCTATGAACAGGTTTGGGCTTTACTCCTATACTATATGGTACTTATCCTATAGCTGAACTCTTGAGAATTCCCAGAACTCCAGTACTCTGTCCTTAACACACTTTTAGTCTGAAGTAACCAAAGCAAAAATTAGAGAGATCTTGAAAAGAGATTTCCAGTCAAGATGGCAGAGTAGTAGGACCATGAGCACACCTCTCCTTGTGACTACAACAAAACCACAACTGACTGCTAAACAACTATTGAAAATAAAAAAGACTGGAACCTACCAAAAAAGATCTGCTTCAACTGGAAACAGTGGGATGGTAGGAGGGGCATGCTTGCGATATAATCGGGCCCCATTACCCCCCTGGGTGGGTGAACCACAAGCTGAGGAATAATTAAATCACAGAGGCTCTCCCACAGGAGTGAGTTCTGAGCCCCATGTTAGGCTACCCAGCCTGGGGTTCTGGCATTGGGAAGAGGAAGAGACCCCGGACATCTGGTTTTGAAGACCAGTTGGGCTTAACTCCTGGAGCCCCATAGGACTGGGGGAAACAGACTTCATTCTCTTGGCAAGCATACATGGAATCTCATGTGTGCCACGTCCAAGGGCAGAGGCAGTGATTTCAAAGGAACCTGGGCCAGACCTGCCTGGTTTTGGAGGGTCTCCTGGGGAGATAAGGAACCATTGTGGCATGCCCAGGGGACATAAAAGCTGGTGGGGGACATTCCAGGAGTGTTCATCTACATGAGTTTTCCTGGAGGCTGACATCTTGATTGGATCATTAGCACCAACACCTAGCCCCACTCAACAACCTGTAGGCTTAAGGGCTAGGAAGCCTCAGGCCAGACAACATATCTATAAGCAGACTTTCTGAGCCACAGATGCCCCTGCACACAACCCTACCCACCAGAGGTCCAAGACCAGTCTTCACCCAGCAGTGGGCAGACACTGACTCCTCCTGCCAGGAATCCTGCATATGCCTCTAGTCCAGCCTCATCCACCAGGGCACAGATACCAGAAATAAGGAAACAGTAATCCCAAAGCCTCTGGAAGGACTCTACAAACACAGGCCAGACTCTATACTGGGACCACCTGGACCCTGGTCCTTGAGTGACAAGAGAGGAGTGTACTGCTGGGACACATAGGGCGTCTCCCACAGAGGGCCACTTCTCCAAGGTCAAGAAATGTAACTAACCTACTTAAAAATACAAATAGAAAGATAGACACTATGAGGCGGCGGAGGAATATCTTCCTAACCAAGACACAAGATAAAATCCCAGAAAAAGAAGTAAGTGATGAGGAGATAGGCAATTTATCTGAGAAAGAGTTTAAAGTAATGATGGCAAAGATGTTCAGAGAACTCAAGAGGAGTATAGATGCACAGAGCCAAGTTTTTAGCAAAGAGTTGGAAAATATAAAGAATACCCAAACAGAGTTGAATAAAATCACTGAAATGGGTAACAGACTAGAAGGAACCGAGAATAGACTAAATGAGGCAGAAGAATGGATCAGGGAGCTAGAAGACAGATTAGTGAAAATCACTACTGCAGAAAAGAAAAAGGAAAAAAGAATGAAAAGAAATGAGGATAGTTTAAGAGAACTTGGGGACAACATGAAACACACTAATATTCACATTATAGGAGTCCCAGAAAGAGAAGAGAGAGAAAAGACCTGAGACAATTTTTGAAGAGATAATAACTGAAAAACTTCCCCAACTTGGAAAAGGAAACAGCCACCCAAGTCCAGAGGCACAGAGAGTTCCACACAGGATCAATCCAAAGACGAACACACCAAGGCACATAGTAGTAATCAAACTGACAAAAGTTAAGGATGAGGAGAAAATACTAAAATTAGCGAGAGAAAAGCAACAAATAACATACAAGGGAACTCCCATAAGGTTATCAGCTGATTTTTCAGCAGGAACTCTACAGACCAGAAGGGAGTGGCACAATATACTTAAAGTGATGAAAGGGAAAAACTTAGAACCAAGAATATTCTATCCAGCAAAGCTGTCGTTCAGATTTGATGGAAAAACCAAAAGTTTCACAGATAAACAAAAGAATTCAGCACCACCAAACTAGCTTTACAACAGATGTTAAAAGAACTTCTCTAGTCATCAAACCATAAAAAAAGAGAACAAAAAGAATCAAGAGGGAAAAAAAGACCTACAAAAGATTGCTTTGGCAATTCGGGGTCTTTTATGGTCCCATATAAATTTTGGAATTGTTCTAGTTCTGTGAAAAATGTCGTGAGTATTTTGATGGGGCTGCATTGGCTCTATAGATTGCTTTGGGTAATACGGCCATTTTGATAATGTTGATTCTTCCAATCCAAGAGCACAAGATATCTTTCCATTTCTTTATATCATCTTCAATTTCCTTCATCAGTGTTTTACAGTTTTCAAAGTATAGGTAACCTCCTTGGTTAAGTTTATTGCTAGGTATTTTGTTGTTTTTGGTGCAATGGAAATGTTTATGCCAGTTATAAAATTCTAGTTTTTGAAGTGAAAAAAAAAGTGAATGAAGGGCTGCAAATGGCAGAATATCCTTCTTTTTATGGGTGAGTTGTATTCTAGTGTGTGTGTGTGTGTGTGTGTATACACATATCTATAAATACACACACACACATATACATATGCTACATCTTTACCCATTTATCTGCTGATGTGCCTTTAGGATTCTCCCATATCTTGGCAATTATAAATAATGTTGCTGTTAAAAAATAATAATAAAATAAATCATCAAAACGTGTAAAAAAAATTGGAGAGATGTTTTCTCCTGTATATTCTGAAACTTTTTACATTAGATAATGATACTTTGTTTTTAAATAATTTATTCACCTTTCTTTTCTCATAGTAAGGTTATGAAACAATCTTTGTAATCCTTAAAGCCTTTTTCTCATAGAAACTATTTTTTTCCAGCTTTATTGATACAAAATTGACATATAACATTGTGTATATGTACAGCATGATGACTTTATATATACACGTACTGAAATGATTATCACAGTAAGGTTAGTTAACACATTCATTGGTTCACATAGTTACCTTATTGTGTATGTGGTAAAAACTTTTAAGATTTGCTGTCTTAGCAACTTTCAAGTATACAATACAGCATTATTAACTATAGTCACCATGCTGTACATTAGATCTCCAGAATTTACTCATCTTCTAACTTCAGTTTATTCCCTTTGACCACTTTCACCTATTTCCCTCACTCCCCCTACCCCTGGCAACCACCAGTATATTTCTGTGTCTGTGAGTTCAGTTGTTTTAGATTCCACATGTAAGTGAAATCATTCCACATTTGTCTTTTTCTGTCTGACTTATTTCAGTTAGCATAATGCCCTCGAGATTTAGCCATGTTGTTGTAAATGGCAGGATTTCCTGTTTTTTAATGGCTGAATAATATTTCATTTATGTATGGTATTTGTGTACACGTGTGTGTGGTACACGTGTGTATACCCATTTTCTTTATCTGTTCATTTATCACCAGACGCTTAGGTTGTTTCCATCTCTTGCACGGAGGATATAGCTCAAGTGGTAGAGCACATCTGTAGCATGCATGAGGTTCTGGGTTCAATCCCAGTACCTCCTCTAAGAAGGCTATTGTAAATAATGCTGCAGTAAACATGGGGGTACAGTCATCTTTTCAAGACAATGATTTCATTTCCTTCAGATATATACTCAAAAGTGGAATTGCCAGATCTTATGGTAGTCATATATACATATATATACTATTTTCTAGAGTGACTGTACCAATTTACATTTCTGCTGATGGTGCACAGGGGTTCTGCCTTCTCTGCATCCTTGCCAGCACTTATTATCTTTGTCTTTGCTGATAATAATTCTAACAAGTGTGCGTCTAATTACTCATTGTGGTTTTGATTTGCATTTCCCTGATAATTAGTGCAGTTGAGCCCCTTTTCATGTACCTCTTGGCCATTCATTGTCTTTGGGAAAAATGTCTAATCAGGTGATTTGTCCATTTTTAAACATTATTGATTGATTGATTGATTGATTGATTGGTCAGGGGCAGATTAGGTTTATTTATTTATTTATTCTTAGAGGAGGGACTGGGGATTACGAACCCAGACTTCATGCATGCTAGTGGATGTCGTCCCTACCTACTTGAGTCTATACTCCCTCCTGCTAATTCGTTACCTTAATTTTTAAATACTAGT